AATCTCTCAGTTATTCCATATCAAGTATTCACTTTCAATTAAACAGCGCCACCATGAGTCTTGCTCTTGGAATGGAATTTCACTCAGACAAAGCCTTCGTGGACTACGTTAAAGACTACCAGTACTAAGAATACAGCTTGTCTCATGGTTAACACAACTTGGGAGCTCGAGCGCAGCATCAAGCATGTTTCCAATTTCAAACTATTGCTTGAAGACCTGCATAAAAGAATACAAGCTGCCAAGCAGACAACCAGGGGAGAATGTAACGATGGCAAGGTTGCCGACCAAGAATACAGCTTGTCGCATCGTTAACAAAACGATGGCAAGGCTGTCGAACAAGCTAAAGATCGCACCATTAACGGGCAAGGCCGTTGAAGAAGCCGTAGAGAAATACATTTACTTGATGTAGTTTATTCAGCATAGTATGCATTTTCGTAGTTAATAGTTCAAGACGACAATCTAATCACTTTCCAATTTACTCTGTGAAGCTCGCTACCATTACATTTGGTAGCACTTCCTGGTCCAGTTCAGTTCAGTTCGGCAGCAAGGACTTACACCGAGGGGCATAGCTGGGATGTTGTAAGGTTACTCAAATCTATTTTAGGCAAAGGCTTAACGGCGATCTTTCATAGCCACTTGTGTCGAGTTAGCGATCGCCTAAGTGTTTCTTTTTCCTCGACAGTACTCTCCTTAGTACCCGACATCAGAGTCGGTAGGGGGCTCAGTCGACCGTTGGGAAAGGGACATTTGGTGCGTGTGAAGATTCACTGCCGACAAAAAAGTAAGCGACTGCGGCGAGTGGGAAAGTCAAAAGCGGAGCGAGCGGCAGCGGCAGTGGCGAGCGAGAAGGTTATCCAGCGAGGGCTACGCAGCGAGAACAGCGACTTAAGTATAACCGAATTAAGTACGCTCTCGACGAAGCAAAGAAACCGAAGGTCGGCACTAAAGAAGACTTAGTTTATTACCTAGCGAGCCTATAATAAAACTAGAATCAACTGAAGGCGCAGCAGGACATGCAAGCAGCGCTACTTCAATGTGTGTCTAGTAACGGCGATCAGGGTAGAAATCAACTACGTGACACTGAACGGTGTATCGAGGGACTCTCAATGCCAGCGTACCATGGACATTTGAACGAGAGCATCGGTTTGTACATCCACCTAGTCAAGACGTTCTTTGCGGCGAAGAACTTAAAGTACGAAACCGACGAAGCGGTTGAAGCACGCTGTCTAGCGAAGATTGCTGCGAACCTCCAAGGGCAAGCAGCTGCGTGGTATCATGAGCTAGCGTCGCAAGGCCATGGGTTTACGACACTCGCGGAATTCGAACACGGTTTGCGTGAAGCGTTCGAACCAAGTGATGTGCAAGAGCGGCTACACGACCGTCTGTTTGCGTTGCAGCAGAAGGGGTGCAAGGACTTAGTCGAGTACATCGAGAAGTTCCGTCGTGTTTGCACGGACGTGCAGGAGATGTCAGAGCTGGACAAGGTGACGTTCTTCATTCGAGGGTTAAATTTAAAGACCCGCGAGGAAGTGAAGTACCGTCAAAGTAAGACCTTGTCTGAAGCGATCAAAGCGGCGTTGGAGTATGAACGTGCGCATTCTGTTTTACTCTTGTCGATGAAGCGTTCCGACAAGCCGAACCGATGGAATCGGACGGACTATGGAAGCGGCCAGCGCGAAGGACATGTACCGCGTTTGGAGTCGCAAGTGTCCACAGACATGGAAGTGGATAATGTCAAGATGCAATGCAGTCGGTGGAAGGAAAACAGCAAGATTCACTGTTACAACAGTCAGAAGTTGGGGCATATCGCGACAGAATGTCGGAAGCCCAAGAAGAAGATATCAGGGCAGGCACCGCCCAGCCACCAGAACAACCTCGAGTCCATGAGCAAGTGTCGAACGATGATGTTGAGTGCATCTCGTTTGGAATCGTCAAGGAAATGAACACGACAAGCAAAGATGTGAAAGTGTTGTTGGATTCTGGAGCGACCTATTTTGTCGAGTTGGTTGGGAACCAATGTCATTCGCAACAAGTCAGTGCGGATTGCTGCGTATGACAACGTGTGATCACCTATGACGAATACGCAAGAAGTCATGGAAACGATCAAGGTCAACAAGTTCTCATTCAAGGACACAGTAATCACAGAGTGGGACTTGAAAGACAAGGACTTTGACGTCATCCTGGGTGTACGTTTGTTTGCGAAGTCGACAATCTAATCACTTTCCAATTTACTCTGTGAAGCTACCGTTACACCTACAACGCCCCTGAGTAAATGGATGGGAATAATTGCGTGCTAACGGCAAGTACAATCCTAACGTTAACGTAAGACACAAAGTCATACAAGATTGTACAATGTTAATCGTACCAATGGTGAATACTATTTACCAGTACTGTAGTAGTCTTTAACGTAGTCCACGAAGGCTTTGTCTGAGTGAAATTCCATTCCAAGAGCAAGACTCATGGTGGCGCTGTTTAATTGAAAGTGAATACTTGATATGGAATAACTGAGAGATTCTGTGCCAATCAATCTTGCTCCAACAATTTCTGGTTTTGTCCAAAGATTGGATTTACAATGTAATATTTGAGAAGTGCGATAATCTTTGTAAAGTATGCTCACATTTTGGCGAAGGTTTGCTGATATACTCACATATTGGCGATTACCCCAAAGAGGTCTGACTATACCAGTAGAGGTAGTATTAGTATAGGTATACCTAGTTGTTTGCGTAGAATCACGCGACCTACTGCAATTTGCATGTTCCACTGTTCTTTTCTCAGAAAGCACTCCATTTATGAGTGTTTATATGGAATTTTGTATGCTCGGACCACCTCACCTCTTACTAGGGGTAATAGCGATAGCTAACCTCTAGCGATGCAGTTAACCCCGGAGATTTAGCACCGTACTATGTACCCACTGGGGGTTGGACTGAGTCCCAGGTTACAAGGCTACGAGGGAAAAGGTGTATTCGGATGTGATATTTCCCTGATTGAAAGAGTATTTCGGGTCAAAACAAGAGTGGAACTCTTTTAATGAGGGAATTATTCCCATGTTTGTCTAGTACCATATGCTTCTTGGCCAATCTGAACTTCTGATTGGCAGATTAGCAAATTATGTTGCGTGATTCTGCTTTTAGAGTTCTGGGATTTAGCGTCTAGTGGGTAAGAGGTCTGACTGTACCGGTAGAGGTAGTATACGTATAGGTACACCTAGTTGTTTGCGTAGAAGCACGCAACATACTGCAATTTGTCAATCTTTTCCACTGTTGTTTTCTCAGAAAACACTCCATTTATGAGTGTTTATATGGAACTTTGTATGCTCGGACCAAGCGACAATTTTCTGGAAAGGGATTGGATACCCGACACCAAGTCGTGATATCATTGGTAGAGAGTCGTTTAAAGTTTTCGATTGATTATTGGTGGAAATTGTCCCTTGTAAGGGCATAGCAGTTTCAAATCAAACATTGTTGAACATGATCCTCCAAGAAGACAATTGAGAGCCGTTCCACGACGCGTCAACCAGACGTACTTACACAACGTACCAAAAGCAATTCGAGTCATTCATCTGTAAACACAAAAAAGGTGTTGATCCGCAAGCTGCGGGCACGGAGGAATGTATCGATTTCTTCCACTACATGTATAGCCAAGGAAAGAAGGCCAGGACAGTTGCCCAGGCCAAAATTGGCTCTTGTCGCATACTTCAATGCCAAGGGAGTGAAGCCAAACCCAGCCCAGGACTCGACGACACGCCGCTACATCGTTGGGCTTCAGAAAGACAAGCAGAACAACATCGACGAAGAGAAGAAGGCCCACCCACTCACGGTGCTCGAGTTATCCACCCTTCTCAACGCGCTATCCAGTTTGCACCCATTTTTTGGCGCCATGCTGCGTCTGGCTCTGGTGGTCGGATTCATTGGTTGCTTTCGAATCAGTGAAGTCCTCCGACCACGATGGAACGACATTCAACTTGTTTCAGAAGGCAAAGGTCGCTACCTTTCAGTACGACTTCCATGGCACAAGCAGGTCCACGTTGAAGAGGATAACCAAGTCTATTACTTGGTAGACAAAACGTCGTTCCCCTGTCTGCGCGTTTGTGGATTCCACGACGACAACCCCGCGAAGTTGCGTGACAGAGCTGCGTCAACCTGCCCAAGAACGCTTTTTTCTTTCCAAAATTTGTGATGCTCCAAGGTGTGGTACCACGAGTCGACTGGTATCGCGGTCTCGAGCAGACCAACCTGCGCAACTTGTTACGGGTGGTCGTCGAAATTACGCCAGATCTACCAATTGGGATTTTGTTGCACAGCTTACGCCGTGGTGGGTCGTTTTACCGGGTGTTTGAATTGAACGAGCGTCGTTTCAATTTTCGTGAGTTGATGGCTTGGTGTCGTTGGGCCGACGCTAAGACGCGCTGTGAGTACTTGGTCACTCAAAGCATCGGCAACGAAATCGATCCAAGAAACTTGCTACGTACAGGTAGCGTGCATGGGCCAGTTCAATGGAATGGTTCACTGTTGGCGGTTACCTTACCCAGTGAACGAGCTCGCTCAAACCTTGGCCAAGATTATGCACCAGTACGCGACTGCCAGCCATCTTGAACCCAAGGCAACAAAGCAGTTATCAATCGACAGTTTCGTTGTCCAGAAAGCCACACCTACTCCTCGATCGGCTCGCGAGGCGTGGCAGCAATGGTTTGTGGAGGACACCGAAAACGGCTTGATTTGCGCGCTGAAGTACTACACTAAGGATATCATACAATTCGATAGAATGAAGTACTCTGAACGGCATACGTTGGCGATGGCGTTTAGCAAGTACCAATTGTTCGATCAATTTGAAGCCTCGTACACGGGCTTCACAAATTCGTTCGCGAGAATCCTCAAAGAAGTTCGGCGTAGAAAGCAAATTGGTACAATGTAATACATTTTTTCTTGTACTTTGTTTTGAATTATGGGGTGACAGAACACGGGACTTACTGTTAATTGGTGGCTAATTGAAGAATTACTAATTGATAGTTGGAAAATGATGAATTGAAGTGCATAGGTAAGCTTGATAACAACCTTTGTTACTCGTTATTCTACACTCGCAACTTCAGCTATCCACACAATAGATGAGCTCGGGGTAAATGTTAGAGTGAGGAACCTCAAACTGCCGACCATCCTAGCCCATAAATATGCAACACTGCAACACTTGGTAACCATGGAAAACCATTCAAGAAGTCTGAATACCGACCAATGCAGACTGAAAACCGTTCGAGCACTTTGGCATTATCAACCAGCTGTCCAACAGATGGTGGGGTGAAATGGGGCTGTGCACTTCCTTATGAGTACAAATACATCACATATCCTGACAAAGGTAATCCTTGTTCATAGCATATCCATTTGTGGAGTGTGTTGATGACACCTTCCATATTCCAATATCTACTCAATGTACTGAAGGGTATGCGAATATATGGCATATCAATTTGTGAACTACTGCGAATCGTTATCTATCATTTAGGCATGAATTATTATGGCATTTGAATATGAGAGGTTTAACTTTTTGACCGAAGTCTCAAGAGGCCATCCCACATATGAAGGATTTAGCCCTATTTGTCGAACCCGCGGTAAAAGGCGAAAACTCGTGGGAAGGGGGGTTGGATCATTCCCTGGGCCCGGCTAACCATGTCACAAAAAGCGTTTAAAACTCAAAAGCCTACGTGATGCTATATTTTAGAAATCAATTTATGCAGGTAATCCGGATATACGATTCTCCACCAGACATCATCGGTTTCATGGAGGATATATGGGAGGAGTCGCGATGTGACACCCACCCCCTAGGAGGGGAATATCTCCAATGTGTTTAAACTATTTGTGATGATGTTATCCCAACTTTACAACGCGCATCGCAGAAAGTTTAGGCTAGCGCAACGCCCCTTGTCGGCCGTTGCGTGTAAATGTCTACAAGGCCGGTTGAATTAGTAAACAAGTACTATTAATTACACTACTATATACCAGCAAGTTCAGTATACATTGCATTACTACATGCCGTACCTTCGAAGTGCTTGGAAAGCTTGGTGGGGTGTGGTACACCTGCCGATTGCAACAGTCCCCTCCGAGCCACTGATCTTCAAAGTACCGGGTGAAGTTCTTCGACACTAGAACCTCGCACCCTCCCGATGCAGCTTGCGCCTCGTGCCAATACAAGTCGCAATCAGCATTGCTCCTGCTGTAATGCAATCGGTACAAGTGCCGTAGCATCAGGGCGATGACACGCGGCTGAACTGCACCCAAATGCTTGTACAGACACGCGACACAGTGGTAGAAACGCAGCAAAAGTGTTTTGACGTTGAGTTCGGGAATCTTCGTTGCAGCAACAGGAGCCAAGGCAGCATCGGCCATGACGTAGGTCGAGTTGGAGGCGACAGTGGACAACTTCCGCGTACGCTGACATCAGTGCCTTCATGGCCCATTCATACTCGTTTGTGAATTCTTTTCCGATCAAGAAGAAGTCGACGGGATGTAACGTGCCGCCAGGGTCTGTGATTCCGCAAATGAGCAA